GGGAGTAGTTAGCAGTCTGTGAATTGTCAGTTTGTTAGTAATTTTGTTAATGTATTCATTTTTGGGTTGAATAAATCAATTGTTTTTTGTTACTTGTAAAGTCGAGATCAAGGATTTTCTTTCTGTTAAATGGTCTTTCAATGGATTGTGAGGGGAAAGGCAAGCTTCTCTGGGTGTTTAGTGGGTAATTATTAGATGAGAACCCCTACTCCTGTCATAACAGATCAGGGCTGGTATTTTAGTTCAATTGTCAGAGGGGTTCAGCCATTTCCTGTCGTAACACCTTATGTCAGTTGTCTTTAGTGAGGGATGTTTGCTGGGCACAGTCCTGTCAGATTCCCAGGAACTGCAATGATTGGTAATGCATTAGAAACTGCAATGTAATTGATGAACGGATAGGCTGTGCATCATACACCAAGACAATGTAACAAATCCGATACAAAGCAGAGGGGATCATGTGCAGTAGGATGGGAGAATGCAATGCCAAATCAGTGTCCAGGGTGATATGAACAGAGATCTAGCCTGGTCGTCTAGTGATAAGGGTTCAGTGCCTTCACTGCCATGGCCTGTTAATGGTTAACATTTACACTGATAAATATAAAATACTGACTAATCTTTAGAAGCAGAATGGATCGGTTAGAATCGCTTCATTGCATGTTACAGTTCCACATCAGCAACGTCAGCTACAATTGCCTGACGTGCAATCAGTTTAAAACAAGAAAAGAGGGAACGTCAGGAAAAGTGAAGGGCAATGGAGGCTTGTGAGAGCTGACTGTAAGCCTAGTGGAGACAGGCCCAATTTGGGTTGTCAAGACTGGTTTTCACTGATTACCCTGGTATACAGATCACTCCAGAACAATCACCCACAATGACTCTCCTTTGTGTGTTGTCCTGTGCACGTCTCATCTCAGTTCAGTGCCTGGAGGGGATCCATGCATGTTAACTTGACAAATTTTGCTCAGGTCAGTTTTACAGTCTCATATTAAGACCATAACTTTTAGGAGCAGAAAGAGACCACTCAGCCCATCCAGTCTGCTCCACCATTCAATGAGCTTCTGTCTGAACTGATAATCTGAAACGTACTTTCTTGCCTTTCCCCATCACCCTTGATACCTTTACTGATTAAAAATCTGTCAATCTCACTGTTGAATACACTAATGACCCCGATCTGACAATTCTCTGCTGTAAGGAATTCCACTGATTCACAGCCATCTGAGAGAATAAATGCTTCCTCGTCTGTCTTAAATGTGCGACCCCCATTCTGATATTAGGTGCTCTGGTTCAAGACTGCCCAGAAGGAAAACCAATGTTTTTTGTGTCCAACATGTTAAATCTCAAAGAAACCTGTCTGCTTTAATAAGGAGCAAGTCTTCTTTTGTAGTACTGTGTCTGAGCATGTGAAGTCCATGGATTTCAGCGCTTCCTCCTGTTTGGTTTTATCCTTGATATAAACTTTCACTGATTCTGACAGAGCTGTCCCCTTTATGTCTTTTAATGTCAGGAATTCACGTTCATTTTAAGAATTTGGACAGGAACAATAAAATCCTCATTCTTATTTGGGAATCAAACCAAGAACACAGCAGTTGCAATGCTGAATCCCAAAAAGGAAGGTGCGCACAATACTTGCAACTTTTCATCTTGACACTGCTTTTGACCTCCTTCAGTTCCAAAATGATAGTCAGTGAGATTTTAACACCACGGAGAGAGGCCCTTCAGCCCATTGTATCAATGCCAGTCATCAAACATCTCACTTCCAAACCCAGTTTCCAGCACTTGGCCCATCGCCTCATTTGCTCTGATGTTTCAAGTGCTTATCCAAAGTTATTGAATGGCTCGAGGGCATTAGTAGAACATAAACACTTTCTTCAACAAACAATAGGAAACTTTGCTCTTTGTTGCAATGTGAAATCTGCGTTTTCCTTCTTGGAGACAGTTATGAAAGCCAAACTCTTTCTCAGAGCCGTTTGCCAGTTTTCCTCATGATGCCAACAGTGTGGGTTTAAATCCCACACTGCCTGAGGTTACCACTAATGACTCTCCCCTTTCAACCTCTCTGCTGACATGAGATGTGGTGTCCCTCAGGTTAAAACATCAGCAGCTTTGCCTCCCTAATAAGAAAGCAGCCCTGTGACCCGGAATGTCTCACAAAGTTTCAGACTTTGTGATATTGTATCCCTGGGATGCAAAAGGCACATTTTATACTCTATTAAATGTGTTATATATGTCAGTTGTCCTGGTAGGAAGAGGAAGATTCCTTGTACATATCACGCCAAATAAAACTCAATCTTTACAACGTGGGCACTTAACCCAGAATTTCGAGCGCTACGTGCAGCATTGCTTATGACTGCGCAGGCTCAGTATGTTCCCGAGTGCCCACAGTGTAGAGCATGCGTATTGGGAGTGATCCTGAGAAGCCGTTGCTTTTTACCTCAGCTCCACAAAAGGTAACAATGTGGTGGAACAGAGGAGGCGATGGACCGGGCGGTTAGATGGGGAGGCTTTCTAAACACTTCGTGGATGCGGCAGACCCCGCATAAAGAAACTATTTGCCCCCTGTTTTACAAAACGGGACAAATCGAGTCTCCTTCTTAACGGCAGGCCACGGGTAACGGCCGCCATCTTCGTAGGAGGCAAAGGGCAGCAGGGCGCATGTGCGGTCATTCTGGGCCAGGGGAGAGGATGTTGTGAATGTCTTTGCTGGACTGATAGGAACGGAGTTTATAAACGCCTTTTACTGGGAGTCAGGAGGGCAGCATTTACGCACAGCAAACTTCAAATCAAATAAATATTTGCTTCTTCTGAAATTTTGTCCCAGACTGACTGAGATGGCTTTTGTAAATTTTTTTTACAGCACATTAGAAGAGGATTTGCAGATCGAAAACCCAAACCAAATGATACACCAAGATCTAAGTGAGCCAATTTATTCATTCAGTACTGGATATTAATGGCCTTTGAATTTAAGTATTGAGTAAAATAAAAGTAACATAAAATTCCTTCCTTACATCTCCAATAACTATTGCCCGATATCTGTGTGTCTCATAGTTTTACTATCAGTAAAGAGGAACAGCTGCTCTTTATCTACCTTGTTTAACCCTATCATGAATCTAGACACTTTATCAAATCTCATCGCAGCCTCCTTTGTTGTGTGCAGAGCAACTTCAGTTTTCTCCAACCTGACCTTACAACTAATATCCCTTGGTTGTTGAGCCATTCCGATTAATTTACTTTCAAATCTCTCCTCAGACCCTCACGTCCTTTGTGGAGATCACCTGTTTGTGCAGACCCAAATGCTCTGTGTTCAAGTGGGTGATGTTATCACACGGGCAATTACTCAGTGACATCACCCTGATCCCTGGGTATTTCCTGAACTGTGAGTTTGCTCTGATTCTAGTGCTTCTGATATCTTTTGAGCCGCAGATTCCGCATTTGATTTTAAAATGTTATTGATTTCTGTGAGATCTTCCGTGTTCTTCTAAACGCCAGTGAATTTCATCCTATCTGATCCATTCTGATCTAAAACGTCAGTCCTGCCACTCCAGGAATCAGTCTGGTAAACATTAATTGGAGCACCTCTGTAGCCAGAACAGCCTTAGTCAGATACGTGTTCCAAAACTGCACACAATGTTCCAGGTGTAGTCTCAAAAGACCCTGTACACTTTCAGCAAGATATCCCTGTTCCTGTTCTTATTTCCTCTCGCTATGAAGGCCAACCTAGCATTTGCCGTCTTCATTTCCTGCCTCTGCCTGCATGCTTGCTTTCAGTGCCTTGTGTGCAAGGACAAACAGATCTAATTTCTTGTTTCTCGTTCCCCTTTTGTAAATTCATGCTGACTGACTACGTCCAATCTGTCACTGTTTTCTAATGTTAACTAACCGGTCTATAAGTTAATGTTTTCTCTCTACCACCTTTTTAACACAGTGGAGTTACATTAGCTCCTTTCCAATTATGGGAACTATTCCAGAGTCTATAGCAGTATGAAAGATAATCATTAATTTCCTTAATTTAGATTCAAGCTCCTTGTTTCAAAATGTATCCATTATCTCTCAGGCCACTTTAAGTAGTCTGGGCTGTAGAATACCAGGTGCTGGGATATGTTGGCTTTTAATCCCATCAATTTTCCCCAGCATCATTTCCCTATTAATACTGATTTCCTTTACTTGCTCTCGTGTTCCCAACCTTTTTGGGGATATTATATATCTCGTTGTTTGTGATGACAGAACCAAAATATGTAGTTAATTGGTCTATCCATCTCTTTATTCCACATTATAACTTCCCCTGTTTCTGATTGTAAGGGACTTGTTTTCATTATTTTTTTTTCCTCTTCATATCCCTTTAGGAGCTTTTCCAATTAGTTTATATGTTCCCCACAAGCTTACCTTTTGACTTTATTTTCCCCTTCTTAACCAATCCCTTAGTCCTCTTTTGCTGAAATCTGAACTGCACCCAGTCTTCAGGTCAGCTGCTCTTTTTTAGCTAATTTGTATGTCTCTTCCTTGGATCCAGGACTATCCCTAATATCCCTTGTTAGCTATGACAGGATCACCTTTCCCATTTTATTTTGTGCCAGACTGGAATGAACAACAGTTGCAGTTCCTCCAAGTGCTCTTTAAATGTTTGTCATCCCTTTCAGTTTATGTTCCCCAAGTTATTGTACCCTGCGTGCATGTGCCTCATACCAATGTAATTACCTCTATTTAGACTTTGGCCCCGACTCTCAGAATCAACACTGTCACTCTCCATCATAATGAACAGGTCTATCATGAAGAGGTTTTCACTCTTCCACAAGGGACGTTTCACAGCTAGATTGCCAATGAATCCATTTTCATTACACAATTAAAATTTTGAAATAAAGTTGCTGTAGTCCCAGAAGACGGTAGGACTGCCCTCTCACTTGAGAGAGAGCGAGAGAGACACGACCAATGGTGCTTTAACCTCAGGGTTACCACGCCTCAGGAAATGGGCAAGGTTAAGATGGTGGGACCTTCATGTTGACCTCAGCTGGTACAGGAATTGAGCACGTGCTGCTGGCATCACTCTGCGTCACCAACCAGCTATCCAGCCAACTGAGCTAACCCACCCCTGACCATTACACATTACACCATTGAGGATTATCTGTCCTCCCTTTGGCTCCTCAATTTGTCAATCCAGAAAACCATTTTGTGCGCACTCCAGGAGTTTCTTGTATATGGTCTTGTTACTGATCTGATTTGCTCAATCTATGTGCAGATTGAAGTCATCCATAATAACCCTAAGAACACAAGGTGTGGAAGCAGAATTAGGCTATTTGGCCCATAAGGCTGCTCCACCATTTGATCGTGACTGATAAGTTTCTCAACCCCATTCTCCTACCTTCTGTAACCGTTGGTCCCATTACCAATCAAGGACCTAATTACCTGTGTCATAAAAACATTCAAAAACTTGGCCTCCACAATCCTCTACTGAGTTCCACAAAATCACTACCCTCTGGCTGAAAAAATTCCTCCTCATCTCAGTCCTAAAGGGTCATCCCTTCTCTGAGGCTGTGCCCTCAGGTATTTGCCTTTTGTATTAGTAGAAACATCTTCTCCGTGTCCATCTATCCAGGCCTCACAGTATTCTGTAAGTTTCAATCACAGTCACATAGTCTGACGGCATGGAAGCAGACCCTCAGTCCAGCTAGTCCATACCGACCATGTTCTGAAACTAAAGGAGTCCCACCTGCCTGCACATGGCCCATTTCTTTCCAAACATTTCTTATTTATGTCCTTATCCAAATGCCTTTTAAACATTGTAACTGTACGTATATCCACCACTTGTTTTGGAGGTTTATTCCACATACAAACCACGCTCTGTATAAAAAGATAGCCCCTCTTTTTAGAATGTATCTCCTCTCACCTTAAAAATATGCCCCCTAGTCTTGAAATCTCCCACCCTGAAGTAAAGACACCTTCCATTCACTTTATCTATACCCCTCAAGGGCAGGACCTATACAATTAATGGTAGGGCCCTCGATAGTGTTGTACGTAGATATCTTTGTACGTAAGATTGTGCCGTAAGTGGCCACTTGTAAACTGTTCATTGTATTCATGTGAGTACATGTGACTCCAATGATTTCTGAAAGATCACCACCAATTCCTCTACAATCTCCTTCAGAGTTCTGCGGTGTAGTCCATCCGGTCTTGGTGATTTATCTATCTGCAGATGTTTCAACTACCTCAGCTTCTTCTCCTTAGTAATGGCCACTACACTCACTTCTGACCCATGTTTCTCTCGAAGTTCTGGTATGTTGGTGTCTTCCACTGTGAAAACTGATGCAAGGGACCGATTCAGTTTCTCCATAATTTTTGTGCCCTAGTATTACTTCTCCAGCCCCATTTTCCAGTGCTCCAGTGTCCACTCTTGCATCTCTGTAACCTTTTAGATACCGAAATGGGTATCAGCTTCTTTTATATTACTAGCTAGCTTACTCTCATATTTCGTCTTATCCCCCTTTTTTTTAGTTACTCTGGTTTTTGAAGGTTTCACAATCCTCTGGCTTCCACAAATCTTCACTACGTTTTATGCTTTTTCTTTTGATTTTATGCTGTACAAAACCCTGGTGCGGCCACATCTGGAGTATTGTGTCCAGTTCTGGTCGCCTCATTACAGGAAAGATGTGGAAGTGTTGGAAGAGGTGCAGAGGAGATTTACCAGGATGTTGCCTGGAATGGAGGGATGGTCTTATGAGGAAAGGTTGAGAGAGCGAGTGCTTTTCTCTTCAGAATGACGAAGGATGAGCAGTAACTTGATAGGTGTACAAAACGATCTGAGGTATAGATAGAGTGGACAGCCAGAGACTTTTTCCTCAGGTGGAGGTAGCTATTATGAGGGAGCATAGTTTTAAAGTGATGGAGGTAGATATAGGGGAGACGTCAGAGATAGGCTCTTTACTCAGAGAGTGGTAGGGGTATGGAATGCATTGCCGGAGAAGGTAGTGGAGTTGGCCTCATTAGGGGCATTTAAGAAGCGGCTATTAGATAGGCATATGGATGATAATATAAGGTAGGGGTGGAGGTTAGATAGACCTTAGGTTTAGGGTAAAAGTTCAGCACAACATCGTGGGCCAAAGGGCCTGTACTGTGCTGTACTGTTCTATGTTCTATGCTCTGTCTGACTTTCCTAGTCAGCCATGATTGCGTCATCCTCCCCGGAGTATGTTTCTTCATCCTTGGGATGAATTTCTGCAGTGTCTCCTGAATTACCCCAGAAACTCCTGCTATTGTTTCTTCACTTTCTTCCCATTTAGGTTCCCCCTTCCAATCAACTCTGGCCAGCTCCTTCCTCATGTCTTTGTAGTTACTTTTACTCAATTGTAATACTGTTGCAACAAAAATAAAGTTGCTGGAAAAGCTCAGCAGGTCTGGTAGCATCTGTGAAGGAGAAAACAGAGTTAACGTTTTGGGTCCAGTGACCCTTCCTCAGAACAGGCCAGAACAGAACTGTTGCATCTGATTCAATCTTCTCCCTCTCAAACTGCAGGGTGAATTCTATTATATTTATGGTCACTGCCTTCTCAAGGTTCCTTCACCCCTAATCAAATCTCCCTCATTATACATCACTAAATCCAGAATTGCCTATTCCTCACTGAGTTCAACCATAAACGGCTCCAAAAACAATCTCATAGACGTTCCACAAATTTCTTTTCTTGAAATCTGCTGCCAAGCTGATTTTTCCCAGTAATTTGTGTATTGAAGTACCCCATAATTATTGTAATAGTACCTTTTCTACATGCCTTTTCTCTCTCCTGATTTTATTTCCTTCCAGACATCCTGACGACTACTTGGAAGCTTGTACACAAGTTCCGTCAGGGTCTTTTTTTACTTTCCATCTGCCTATCTTTCATAAGATGTGTATCCTCGGATGTTTAGTTCCCAGCTCTGATCTCCTGACAGCCACATCTCTGTGTTTGTCTCATATCTCCAATCTGCCCACATAACTGATGTGTGTCATTGCTGGGCTGATTTTGGGAGTGTTTTCTTTTTCTGGATCCTCTCTAATGCCTTCTACCTCATCTTAAAATGTTGTGTTCAAGTCTCAGTAAAATGTTCTCGTTCAGTTTGAACTCTTCCCCATTCAGCCCTTGAATTTTTTGTGCATTTTCTCCACCTCCACAGGGTTTCACCTGTGTAAAGCCACAAAGCAAAAGCTCCAAACAAAAACCAAGAACTGTGGATGCTGGAAATCTGAAACAAAAACAGAAATAGTTGGTGACACTCAGCAGGTCTGGCATTAACTGTGGTGCCATCTGAGATCAGAGTCAACGTTTCCACCTGACTTTTGTTGCACAAAGCTCCAGTTTTGTCCTGGAGTTTGACACAGTATCATATTTCCAATTCAGGCAGTTTCAGCCAATGAAGAGTGATTGGTTCACTCTGGTTGGAGGACCAACTTCACCTGAAAACACAAAATGCTGCAAATCACAGGTAGTCAGGCAGCATCCGTGTAGAGAGAGTAAACTAATGTTTCTGGTCTAGATGACCCTTCAGTGCTGGCGTGAAATGTGGAGGGGCAGCAGTTATGCAACACTGGGGGGGTGGATGGCTGGAGTGCTGGGGGAGAAAGGGTGTTGATATTGCAGATTAAGTGATTGGAATGTGAGAATGGCAGAACAATGGTGTGTATAACTGTCAGACAGGAAAGGACAGATGGTCCCATGGAGTTGGAGGAGGGTAAAGAAGACATGGTGACAGAGAATGCAACAAGTGAAGCTTAAAAAAAGGGAAGAAATGGGAGTGAATTCACAATCTGATGGTGTTGAACTCAATATTAAGTGCTGAGGGTTTCAAATTGCCTAGGCTGAAGATGAGATATTGTTCCTCCAGTTTGCACTGTGATTCGCTGGAGCATTGAAGCATGCTGAGGACAGACAAGTGGGCATGGGAGCAGGACACTGCGTTAAAATGACCGGCTACGGGAAGGCCGGGTTGTGCACGGACTGGAGGTGTTCTGCAAGGTGGTCACTCAAAATATGTCCAATCTTCACTGCTTACAGTTCCTCAACACGTAGCGTTATCTACGAATTTTGAGATTCATGATCTACCTTATTAATGTATATCAGGAAAAGCAAATGTTCCAATACCAACCACTGGGGAATGCCACTACAAACCTTCCTCCAGCTTGAAGAATATCCATTGATCATTTCTTCGTTTCTTCTCAGTAGAGAATTTTTTTCTGAGGATGAGCTCACGGAACTCAATTCCTCAGAGAGTAATAATGGCAGTCATTAAAAATATTCAATGCAAAGGTTAAAGTCAAAGAATATTGGGAGCAGACCAGAAACTGAGACCACAATCGGATCAGTCACGACCTTATCGATGGCAGAGTGGGTTTGAGGGCCCAATGGCCTATTCTTGCTGCTGAACTGTATTTCTCGTTGTATCGGTGTTGGTGAGTAGCTCAGTGAGACCAGGGGCAGTGAAGTGGGGGGTGCGTCTCACCAGAGAGAAGGTATTCTGAGATCATTGTGGAAGATTGGAGAGAAACTGAAAGAGAAAGGCAAATTCAGGAAATGTCTGGATGATGCTACACGTCCCAATCTATCAGAAAATGTAGAATTCCTGTTAAAATATTTGAGTGTTGTTGTACACTGTCTAGTTTCTGAATGAATACATAATACCACTAATTCTGACAATGGAGTCTGTATACTAACAATAGAAATTTCTGGAGAAACTCAGTAGGTCTGACAGCAGCTGTGGAGAGGAAGCAGAGTTAATATTTCTCTCCTCAGATGCTGCCAGACCTGCTGAGTTTCTCCAACCATTTTTGTTTTAGTTTCAGATTTCCAGCATCTTTGTACTTAAATGGAATCTTTATGTTGCTTTTGATTATGTCTAATCCTTCGTTACAAACGCATCATGGGGTGGCCTTACTTTTATCCTTTATTTTTATTTCCAATTCATTATAACCTGTAATATTTAACACCCAGTTATGACCAGCTTCTGGCCAGACCCTCTCTGATGTCACTGTCACATCATCAAAGCTGCATTTAGAGCTTCAGCCCCAGTCCATTTGTGTATTTGACTCTCAGTCCATAAACCTTTTTCTCAGGTATGAGACCTTGTTCTTGTGTGCAGATGCTGCTTTTCTCAGTGTTTGAATTCTCACTTTTCTTGTGTCCCTATTATCTAGATCTTGTACCTTCACTCTGGGTGTGATGATAGACTGACTGTGTGTTAGAAGGAGCTGGTTGCACTTTTCCTCATGCTGAGGAATCACCACATTCTTTTTGGTTCCCACAAGAATTGACTGTGCAAGAAAGAGAAAAGAACATCTCTAGTAACTTAAGGTCAGGTGAGGTGAAAGGTTTCCATATGTCCATTTCTCCATATATAATGGTCTATGAGAGAGAGTATAGGTATCTGCCAGATTTGCTGCTTCACTGGTCTTGAGTATTTGATGCTCATCTAAATAAGTTTCTACATTTGAAAGACTTTTTTTTCAATCATTCCATGATAATGATTTCCTTTGCATTCTCAAAACGTTTTTCTAATTTGACTGATCGAAACCACTGCCATTTTGTCAGTCCAACTACCTTCTCAGATGAGGTAAAATATGTTTCAACTCCATCCTTGTTCAATTACTTCAAGTTACATTACTTACAAAATAAAAACTGAAAGAACTGCAGATGCTGTAAATCAGCAAAAACAGAAATTGCTGGAAAAGAGCAGTAGGTCTGAGACATCTGTGAAGAGAAATCAGAGTTAACATCTCTGGTCTGGTGACCCCTCCTCAGTTCTCAGGAAGGGTCACCGAACCCACAAACCTTAACTCTGATTTCTCTTCACAGATGCTGCCAGACCTGTTGAGCTTTTCCAGCAATTTCTGTTTTTGTTGTATTACTTAGTTGTTCATTGTATAAATTAGAAAAAATGAGAAATAAAGTTTAAAAAGATAAACATTACAACCCTTATAGAAAGGGCCTGCAGTAGATGAACACGGCGGGGCTTCCACACATGGTCTGCACAAGCTCGTAAGCCGCTAACTGCCTGCACTGGTCCCAAGTCCAATAACCGTGCCCCGTCCGCTCAGGCCTTCGACCTACTGGCTGTCCCTGCTCTGCTTGGGCCTCCAGCTGCTCTGCCTCAGGAGAAGGTGGGGGAGGGGGAGGAAGGAAAAAAGAGAAGAAAGTGGGAAATAAGCAGAAGGAGTGGAGGAGCTCTGGTTGGAGCATCCTATTCCACCACCGTCTTGAATGTTTTTATTTTGATTTTGGTTTGCTTGAACAATGTGATCTCTCTCTGAAACAGAACTATACAATGCTGCAGATTTTGCTTTAACAATAAAATAGAAGTTTATTAGAAAAAGAGATGAATTTAAAATAGAATAAACCAACCATTTACTTAATACAAATTCAAAAGTTTATGTTTAAAAGCCGAGTAAATGTGTAATCCCACAAATCCGAAAAACTCAGTTAGAAATGGAAAAGAAACAAAACAGTTTTTGTACATTAACCAACACAGCTCTTATTGAAACATAGAAATTAGGAGTAGGAGTAGGCCATTCAGCCTTTGAGTGTGCTCTTCCATTCAATATGATCATGACTGACCCTCACCTCAGTACCCCATTCCTGCTTTCCCCCCCACAACCCCTGCACTCTTGATCCCTTTAAAATTAAAAAAAAAAATTAGCCATCTCATTCTTTGAATACATTCAGTGACTTGGCTTCACAGCCTTCTGTGGGAGAGAATTCTACAGATTCATTACTGTTTCAGTGAATATGTTTCCTCATCTCAGTCCTAAATGGCTTATCCTGTATCCTAAGACTTGTGGCAGTACTCATACCAGAGTCCCTGGTCTACATCTTGCTATGTTTAACACACTTAAGCCTTTAACTTTTGGACTGGAACCCCACAGAGCTTCTCCCTGGAGCAATTATATACCTGGCCTTAAATATACTCAGCTTTAAATAACCATTTCAGGATTTAATTAGAACAGTCCTGGTGTGGGACAAACACTAATTGCTCATTCTAAGGTAACCTAGTTCACTGTAATCCCCTTCCCTGTTTGGAACACTGTTCTGCACAGCCACCTTATTCCAACAACCTCTCAGGTCTGGTCAAAACTCAGAGTAAAACTGAAACCTACAGTCTTTTTCTCTAAGCTATGAGAATTTCCTGTAAGTTTTTGAAAACTAGAAGTCTCTAACGAGGCTAGAATCGAACCTGGGTCCCCAGTGAAGCAACAGTGCTAACCACAGAGCCATATGGTCAAATCCAGGTTGTATCTGACTGGATAATGTATGATTCTGACGAGTGTTTCTCACCTTGATGATGATGATGAGATCACCCCATCAATGTCTCCCCTGGACCCAGATCCCGAGGAACAAGTGCCTGGGGTAGTTTGTGCCTTGACCTGGATCCAGTTTTGAACTCCCTCCCATGTCTCATCACATCCTGCTTTATTCTAATGAAAAGATTCCCAGTTTCTCTTGTCTCTCCTCATGGGTAGTGAAGTTAGAACCAAATTAGAATCTCAAACTGCAGCTTCAGAGCAAACAGGACACCCTGAGAAACACTTCATTCCTCAGTGAGCTGTTCCGATCTGGAATGCAGTGTTTGAAGGATTGGTGCAGTAACAGGAACTTTCAAAAAGAAATTGGATAACTGCTTGAAGGAAAGCACTTCAGACTGATGGGGAAACAGCAGTGGAGTGGATGAAGTTTGAAATTCAACAGGTCACTTTGCTGCAGATAGTTTGCATGATAACACTGATAAAACATTCCACTCCACATTAAAATTCCAAGGGTTCATGGGAAACTAAGGTAAAATGGGAGATCTTCATTTCGGATTGAAATGAAGCTGGATCTAGTGTTTGGGAAGTGATAACTGTTCAGCTTGTAAAGTCATCAGAAATACTGATATTTGGAAACTTTTATCAGTTTTGTAATAACTTCTACAGAGAGACTAAGAGAGAGAGATTTGCACCTTCTGAGGTTTCCTTCCTTACTGACCACCTAGATCAGTGAAAATACTCATCAAGACTGGAAAGGGTTGCTAGGAAACCCATCAGTACTCAGAATTCCCCATAATCTTTTCAAAAAACATGTTTTCCAGGAATTAATTTCCAGAAATCCCATCTCCCAAAAAGTTTTACTTCTTAGGAGAAAAAATAAGTCAGTTGACTTTCCATATTTATCAAGTAAACCACAGCAGATTTAAAATGTGAACTCATTTTCCAAATAAATGATTAAAAACTCTTTACATTCCAGGAAGTGTCCAAGCAATTCCTTATCTTCCTATTTTTCACATAGATATAAATTTTATTCTCAACACTACCCATAGTACTCGAAAGCATTCCCACTAATACATTGCACAATCATAATGAGTTTTGCAAATCAGGACAAACAGTCCACTTGTTTTCCTGATTACTTGCTATACCTGCATACAACTGTACATGATCCAAGGACACCCAGATCCGTCTGCAGTGCAGCATTCTGCTGCCTCCTGTACTGAAGGACTGCTCTGCATTTCTATACATCTTGCCAGAGATGACATCCATACATTTTCTGACAACGAGGCTCAATCTGTCATTTTGATTTACCCAGTACCTTTTTGGCTTACAGGTTCCGTCCAACCCTCCTCTCCTCTTGCTTGGCAAATTTTGTTACAGTACAGTTGACTCCTACATCCAAGTCAGTCATATAGATTGGAAATAGTTGAAGTCCCAGCACTGATCTGTGGTATTCAGAGTTAAAGTTGGCCAGCCTGAAACCTAATAATTTATCCCAATTAGCAGGCTGCTATTAGTGAGTGAACCCTCTGCTATACTAACCACCAAACCATTAGCTCTTACTTTGCACAGAAACCTTTTACCTGACAACTTGTTGCACGCTGGGTGGAAATCCAAATACACAACATTGAGTCTTTTTTCTCCACTCTCCTTGTCACATCCTCCAAGACGTCAAAGCTCCTCACTCTTGTTGGAAGTAAGGTTGCAGGAGACAGGGGGAGAGGGAAAGTCCTTCACAAGGAAATAATTTATATTGGAGATATTATTGTCCAGATCCTTGTACACAAATCATAGAAAGCTAATGCGATGGTATCACCAAATAATAGGAGGACATCTGATGGGTTGCTAGTTATTACTAGGGGATGGGACGAGGGAAGCGAAGAAGTTTTGTACAGGGGACACACTCACCACGAACCAACTCAAAAAGGCTAACGGCTGAATGTGGAACCATGCATGACAGAAGCTTATTTGGTTTTCCAACAGGCATCAGTTCTTGGCAGTTTTCAATTTAAACATTGAACATTTTCTTGGTGAAAATAGTTTGGAAGATAAGTTGTGAAGAGAATCTAAAGGGTATTCAGATTCAGTGATGGTCAGTG